TCAAATCGAAGAGTTTGTATATTAGGCCATCATGCCACACGAGAAATACACATTTATTTGATTTGAACTGGATTAGTTGGTCTGAATTTTTAATTTGAGATTGCTTTGAATTAATTTCTTTTCCCTGTTAGTTCAGGTAGACTTGCGACTAAATTGCTCCTCCCAGGTAGGTGTATTCTAGTACAGAAAAGTCTACAGGAAATTTTAAATAGTTTCGGTTCATCATACATAGGCAAAGTTGCTTGGGTGCAAGGTTAACTATTTTAATTTAAAAAGGTCGCTTAGAATCGAAAATTTTTTTATTATATGTAATTTAAGCCAGCGATTACATGCGGCACGGCTAACAAAGTGAGACAAATTATTAAAAATTAGATTTTCTTCGAACTTTACTCGACAGAGCATACAGAATCACCTATAAACCCAAATGTTTAGAATTTGGAATTCGAAAATCGCTAAGCCGTGAATTTTCCACCAAAAAGCCCCAAAAATTTTTTCGAAAACACTGATTACTTTATCATCCAAACTTTTTCCTTTTCTGTGCTGCAAAAATCTGGAACACATATCAATCGAAAGCGTGAAAAGAATTCCACAAGACCAACTATTTCTCTAGGTTTTCAGGTATGTGATGGTGAAAACGTTCTCGTGTAACAGACCAAAATTCTGGTGTAAGAGAGTAAATAATCTACGTATAACCGAACAATTCTCCCAGCAAAGGAAAATTCTCGCGAGGAATGAAAACAGAACACTCTGAATTCTTCTCAAACAAACAGAATTCTCGAGTAATGCATTTTTTATCTTAAGTTGTTCACTGGTAGTTTTCTTGCCAAATCATGTTTTTGTGCTGAGTGCTGTTGATAGAGTTGTAAAATCTGTTTTTCTTGTTCCTTACTTGAATGTTTTTTATAGCATTTTTGTTTTGATTTCTTCGTTTTTGTGGTCTGAGCATTTTGTTTTGTAGATTTTACATACTTTCTGGCATGCGCCATTATTCTGATTGCGACTTCCATTAGCCGTTCATAATTTGAAATATTCTGCAACTTCAGTTCCGCCTATCTCAAACTACTTACCAGTAACATTTTAATCCTGTTTTTTATATAAATTTATTTTTCTTTTATTTTAGTTTATTCTTGCACGCCACACAAACATCATTATGATCGCAATTTTTTTTTGTATAGGTAAAGAATTACACGATAACCTCTGATGTGCGTTAAATTTTTTTTTGGTTTTTATTTGTATTACAAGTTATACAACAAGATTTTTTGAGTTATGAGCATCCATTTCGATTTTGTTAATAAAAAGTACTTGTTGATTAATAAAAACTTGGATTGTTTCCTGCGTTGTTTTAGCAATGTGTAGAGCATCAGTTTTTTAATCATACGACTATTTGTGAAGTCCCTTAGACCATAAACAACCTTGCACGTAGTTCAATAATCCAGTATCATCTTAAGAGTGGTAGTCATATAATTGTGGTGCGTTATCATTTTTCGAATCATACTTGCATGTCATGGATGCTATTCCTGTACAAATAGTGATTGTCAAAGTACACAATCTATGAATTTAACTCTATTTTAACTGACAATGGTTGTCTTACGAAAAGCAAGAAAAGTGTAGAAGCTATGATAATTAAAAATCTTTTTTCTGTAAGATTGTTTTGTTCAATTAAGAAATTGAAATGAATAAATTTCAAAAACAAAAATTCATTCATTCATTTCAAATGAATGAACTTTTTAGTTTCAAACATTTTCAGTGTTTGTTATGACAAATGTACTACATAGATTGATTATATAAAAAGATTTCATGGAAAATTTAAAAATATGGTTAATTCTTGAAAGTAAAGCATCCCACCTCCACAAATCTTCATACTTTTTCCTACTGAGACCCGGTGTGTTTTTGCAAGAACTTTAGATTTTTTTCGAAAAACTCGGTGTTTCTTCACAAGAAACTGAGGTTGTTTCCTGTATAAATCGACCGTACTCGAGGAGAACTTGATAATTTTTCCTACAGAGACCCGCTGTTTCTTCACATGAACTTTACATTTTTTCTGGAAAGGCGGCGTTTCTTCACAAGAGCTTTAGATTTTATGCTCGAGAACTGTGTGTTTCTTCACAAGAACTTTTCGAAAGCTGAGTTAGGTTGAGTCAGAACTGTGCGGATCATACCAGTGTATAAAAGAAAAAGTCGCTTACTGGACCAATTTTTCAGACTTACTCTTGGAAGGACTGTTTCTCTTACTCTTCTTTTAGCTCTCCATAAGTTTTGTTTATGAATTAGGGAGATGTGTGGACAAACTGTGTAAAGGCGAACTGACGAATCGCAATTTTTAATCGTAAAGATGATGCAGCAATTCGCATTTTACACGATTCGTACCGAATTGATGCGAACTGTATCGAATACGTACGAATACTCTTAAAGACTTTTACGAAGTTATCTTAGGAATTCGTGAACATGCGAATAGATCAAACACCATGCTGATCAATTTGCAAATAAATCATAAAATTAGTTTACGAATTCGACTTCACTGCTTCTAGAGCCACATAACTTCAAAAACAGATAGATTCGTTTCTTGGCGTCGGTTCGTTACTTCTCACCGGAATTCGTAAAAACTGGCTGAAATCCCAGGAAACACGTTTAACTTGTTGTGTAAATAATCGCAGCCGTCCTCACTTCACTCAGCCTACCCCGCCCCGCACCCAGCCTATCTCATCTTCTTCCGCTCCGTCGAGTAAGCTTTAGTACTTTATCCTTTTTCTGCGAAACTCGGTGTTTCTTCCCAAGAACTTCATATTTTCTCCACGAGAACTGAGTGCTTCTTTACAAGAACTTCATATGTGATCCTGGAAAACTCGGTGTTTCTTCTGAAAAACCTCAACTTCTTCCCACGATAAATCGAGGTTACTTGAGGAGTACTTGATACGTTTTCCTATAGAGATCGGGTGTTTCTTCACAAGAACTTCCGACTTTCTACTTTAAAAATCGGTGTTTCTTCAGAAGACCTTTATATTTTTTCTGGAAAGCTGAGTGTTTCTTCACAAGAAGTCAACTATTTTGAGTAGTAAATCTAGGCTACTCGAGAAGAACTTGATACTTGTTTCTATCCTTCGAGTAACCTCCATTTACCGTGGAAAGAAATTGAGTTTCTTGTGAAGAAACACGGAATTTTCCAGGAGAAAATATGAAGTTCTTGTGAAGGTACACCCAGTTTTCGAGAAAAAATATACAGTTCTTGTGAACAAACACCGAGTTAGAAATATGAAGTTCTTGTGAAGAAACACCGAGTTTTCCGCGAGAAAATATGAAGTTCGTGTGGAAAATACGATCAAAACAGAATTGTGTTGAAAAATGAGATATGGTGTTTCAAGCCATAAAAGTCTTTGAAGTGAGAGAGTTGATGCATGTGTTTTTCAAGTCTAAGAAATGGTTCTGTAGGTCACTCGACCGGTTTTTCTTTAACTGCGATATTAACATCATCTGTACGTATAACATGTTTTGAAGGGATGAAAAAGTCTAGCTCTGTTCAGAATCTGATGCCGATTTTCAAATATATGTTTCTTTCTTAGAAATATTGTTGAGTTTCCAATTCTGACTCCTACATGTCCTGTCCCTAAAAAAAATTGCTTCTACCATATGATTCAGTGAAGTACGAAGAAAGAAGTGCAGTGTTCGACTTTCTGTCGATGAGCTACATCACACAACACCTCTGCGTGACTTAGCTACGTCCTAAGATATCGATGCTTAGACGTTGAATTTAAGAGTGTGAAGTTTATGCGAAGTCGGCAGTAAACCGACCATTTGTTCACGAGAAAAACACGATGAAAGGTTTACACTGATTCCTACGTTCACGCTTATACATTCACGTATACGTAATTTATAGTTAACGAAGACAAAACCAGTTCAATCTTTTGCTTGTATCTAGAACAGAGATGTTTCTCTGTATTCTAAATATAGATAGCAAAAATTGGCCGGTGAAATCTAGTTTGGGATTCGATGGTTGCTAGTTGACCTGAGACAGCTTTTCTTCCAAACTTGAGAAACAGCACAAAAGAGGAAAGTATTAGCATCAGAAGATTTGAACAAAGAAGACACTTTTTCCATGAATTGAATTGAATGCATAAAGGTCTAAGTTGAGAAGCCGTTTATTTGAAGACCTCGTTGTTTATCAGGATTTAAAGGACGAAACTTTTTTGGCTTACGGGGTCTTTTAAATTTAAACTTTTTCTGGTCTTCTAACAGTCTGGGCGCCAATGGTGTCCAGACTGCTGAGAACATGACATATGAAATTTCTCATCACGAACTATGGAATCAGAGATCCACATATTTACTAAAATGCTTGTGTTTTAGCGCTTCGTCTATACCTGTTTTATGGGCACCTGAAAAAGCTTTCACAATTACTAGGTCATTAGAGAATGTACTCAGAATCCAAAAATGTCGTATACAGCGGGTCATGGGAAGCTAAAATCACTTATGATTTTACAGTCCCATGGGCGATTTTCGACTAATCAGAAGCAGTCCATGATTTATCGTTGGATTTTTTTGAATTTGTGCAAGTGTTGCGCAGAAATAAATAAAACAACAGCCAGTAAAGTTGTTTACGTTCTCGGAGCTTGTGTATTTCCGAGTATTTAAGAAATGCAAAGGTGCTTAGGTATTTTCTGAATTCAAAGTTTTTTTATGTAACTCATTGAGAAATCTTTTATTTGACATTTTTTGCGCTTTATTCTGGAAAGCATGTCGACTTTTCTCTTGTTCTTAGCAAGTCTTCTGGAGATTAAAAAAATTGAACGGATTAAAGCGTAGCAGCTGCTAGTAGTCTTGAAAAATGTTTCTTATACTTTTTTAATACTTCTTTTGTCTTCAAATCAAGCACGCTGTAAGTGGACAGCATATAACTCATCTATGCACTGTGATAGTTAGTCACTCTCGTGTCACAGAACGGTAAAATACATGAAAATTCATAATTTTAATTGAATTAGAAATGCATAGATAATTATCTTTTTGTACACCTAGGATCCGGGAGTTTTCGAGAATTCATACTTAATTTTTTGAGATGTAAGTACTGTTTTCTGTCCTTTAACAGCTGCTACGTTATCTAATTTGATACATTCCGATAAACTAGCCGACATATAATGCGTCGGTGACCTGATGATATTAATCAAAAAAATAATAATGCCCGTGCGCACAATCATGCTTGCGAATCTGCAGACCCATCGTATCAGTGCTGCAATGAAATAATTTTTGTTCGTTTTGCGTTGTTTGTGTGCAATTTTTTGTCCGCGTGATTGTCAAGCAAGGCTGGTGATGGAATGGAATGATGAGTGGATGAGAAGCTCATCTAGCCGATAAGAAGTTTTAGAGAAAACTCATACTTTCCTCTAGATGCCATCCTGTGCGTGCATTTTTTTTCAATTTTGATGTAGTGAAAGCCTCCAGAGGTGGACGATGGACTCGTTCATTGCCTATGTATATAGTTTGTTCACACACCTCCTCAAACGGTAAGATTTAAACAAAAACAATCAAATTTCAGTTACCAACTCGCTTCTGTAACTTAGTTTATCGACGACGAATTTCTTGTCGAGAGTTGATTATTGTGTTCCAGTTGGCTTTTTGAATGTACTTCTAATTATCTTTTTCGCTAAACATAAAAGAAACCCTTCTGTTAATCCACAGTTTTCAAAAAAACTTTCTGTTTTACTCGAACTATTATTTGGTGTAACATTTTTGCTAATAAAAAAGTATTCGCCAAAACGAAAAGAAATATACTATAGAAATATAACATCTGAAAATTTTGTGATAGAAATAAACATGTTATTAAGCGCAATTAACCCTTTAGTTACGAGACATATATACGTTTCGAGCTTTTTCTCAGATTTTAACTTTTATCATCTTCTACCTTGCCTAGGCTATAAAAGTCTTCTGTCTTTCTGTTATGTTGCTTGTACATCATCGTGTAGTTCCACTATGTATGTATTGTATGTCAAAGAAGGAGGCTTGATTCTGAGAGAGAGAGTGAAAGAAGGAATTTTTGATTCTGAAGTCTAGGAGAATGTATGGAATCTCTAAATCCAAAGTCTTCTCCCAGGAGAAAAAAGACGGGCAATAAACTGCTCATTAACTGCCAGTTTACAGTCTGCCTAAAAACTGCCAGTTGACAACGTGTTAACTGTCTAAAAACCACCTAAAAACTGTCTAGTTTATTGGCCG